GGCTGACCCGTCCAGTGAAATCACGCGTGCAAACTGGAACGAGATGAGATCGAAAAAGCGAGCGGACGTGCCGTGATTTCGCGGATAGATCCCTCCCCGAGAAATTTCGCGGCTTTTTTTTCCTTTTTTCTATTATGGAACTGGTCCACCAATTGCTTAGCACGAAGATAATATTTTCCACTAAATCGAATCGATTATGTAACGCTATTGACGTTGTATAATGTAATTCTTATGCCGATACTCAATATTTTCGACTTTTAACCATATCAACTTCTGATACACACATATATAATCTATTCATTTGAAAATCGAGAGCAAATATTCTAAATAACTATGATGTAAAAAAGAGTTCTCATTCATATTAAAAAAAAAAAAATGTAATCACTATTGGCATAAGAGTTCAAATCGATTTTTGAAAATGAAATGAAAATGTAAACACATTATTTTAAGGAGTAACATCGGCAATGGGAACGACGATGCCAAAGCCAGCCTGAGAATTTCGGTCGAGAAGATACCTACATTCGGTCGCGGATCGACGACTGCCGTTGGTAGGTGGCGAGGAAACCGATTTCCAAGCCTTGAGATTTCGATCGATCTTTCTCTTTTCTCATTCACCTCGTTCGTCCACCGTTCTCTCTCCGCATCACGGATACAGAACGGCCGGCTCCTCTCGTTCCTTCTCTCGGGCGTGTAGCCTCTCCGTTGAGCCGTTTCATGGATGTCGAGGCTCTCTCGCTCCGGCGTGGCTCCTTTATTGCGTTTCACTTTCGCGATGAGTTTGCCCGTCCGATCGGGGCGTGGCAAAAGTGTAACGCAACAACAGAGGTCCGAGGCCATCGGATCGTATGCGTGAGGCAAGAAAAACAGGGCCTGCCATCCTCCTCCCGAGTGGCTTCTCGCGTATCGCCACGCTGGAGGAGAGAGAATATCTACTGGATGCTTAGTCACACCTCGGGCCACGTCCTCGTAACGGTGTTGCATCGGTCTCCTTACGAAATCGGCTCGCTCTTAAAATGGATTTCGTGTGGACGCGTAATTGCCGCCATATTGGATCCTCTGGTTACACGATAAGGAGTGCATCGATGCAACGAAATAAACACCACCGCCTCTCTCTCTCTCTCTCTTTCGAATCGCATTCTCTCCTCGATGCTGCACACACAGATTTTGATTTGAGGTTTTGAAATTTTATGTCATCGAATATTTCATTGCCAATTTCTTATATTATTCGAGTAGTTCGACTATTATGATTATCTTGTCGTTCGATATTAATTCATAGCGCGAATATTTAATTTGAATTAATTTCACGTGTATTAACGTGTAGCAAAGTCTCGATCTCTTTTTCGTTCCATTTTTTCCATATCGTATCACGATAGCAGATTTTTATCCGCCTATTGAGATTAACGGCGATCCGCGTTTCATCTAACCGGCTGCTCCTGTAATTTAGAAAATCGCCGACATTCCAAATTAGAAAGCGCAAATCGGTTTCTCACGCGTCACCGATCAGACCTCCTTGGACCAATCTGCCGACGAACATCCTCGGTGTGTTGCGAATTTCTTCTGGGAGAGAAGACGCCCAGATTCTCTCCCCGACGCGCTTTCGGCCTCAGCCGCACAATCGATCGGATTCACCAAGGTCAAGATGATCTCCTGACCGCTTGATGCCATCCTGCAACTCTGCACCTGCGCTACTTGCGGTGAATGTCTCTATATATACACGGTAGAAAGTATAAAATAAATCGCCGGTGATCGATTCGATATACTCCCTTTCGCTTTTGCCTTTTGCCTAATTTGCGTCCTTCGATTTCTTTTTTTTCCTCTTCTTCTTCTCCTTTATTTAAATATTCTTCTCAATCGATAATTTTTCGTCTCGCTTCGATTTCTTTGGTACAATTTGATAATCCCGTTCCCGATAATCCAATAGTCCATTGCTCGACGCGAAAACTTGGCACGAAATTTCATTCAATCGAGATCGCAAGGAACCAATCCAACTTTCCATCCGAGGTGGGTCTCTGGGTAACCGATTACGAATCGTCCACGTAATGGTGCCAATTTAACAAGCATCTGAGCGATAGTTCGCCGTGTTTCCTTTCGTCGTGCCGATCTAAATCGGATCGTAATTAATCGAAGCCGCTTACTCCCAAGGTCGAAGCGCCACCCGTACCACACTCGCGCCGATTAGAAAGTGGCGAATTCTCGCGTGGCCACGAGCGGAAGGCGATCGATCGATCGAATCGTTTCGCCCCGGGGAATGGTTTTCAACGATCATCCAAAGGAAACGAGAGGGATTGCGCGAGATCATGAGCATCTTTATCCGTGTTTCATCCGGATCTTTCTGGTAATCGTCCGCAACAGGAAACCGCTTTTCCTGCGTGCTTTCCCACCGCGTTCGATGTTATACGCGAGATTCGTTCTTTGAACGATCGATTTTCTCGATTTCTTAGGATTAATAAAATTTTTTAATCGTGGAATTTTTTCAATTTTCTTACTTTTCGATATTTAATTTTGCAATTTTTGATTTCTCGATTTCTTCGATTTTTATCATTACTTTCCAATCGTTGGATTTCTAATTTTCCAATTTTTCCGAGTTTTTTTTATTTTGATTTTGTAATTCTCCAATTCTTTAGAGTTATTATTTTTTTCTAGGTTTCGCATCGATATTGAATTTTTCACATGTATCGAATTACCAATACCGAATTTTTAAAATCGAATTCCAAGATAATTGCTTTTTCTAATAATCACTTGCCTCGCGGAAACCATTTCTTCGAAGCTACTAAGAAGATATTTCATCGCGGACTTCCTCAAATGATGAATTTAATGGCTCGTGTCGCAAAGTTTCCTTCCGGGCGAGGACGATTTCGTGGCAGCCGATTAACAAACCCGCAGATCCGCCCATCGATTTCTATTTTATTGTCTGCCGTCAGTAGATCGGCGATCGGTATCGTGGATCGGGATCGAGGCGATGGAGTGGTTGACATTCACTTTCTAGGTCGTAAAATCGCTAAGCGTCGTTTTCAGCTATCCTTTCCATCCGGAACGTATTTATTTGGACGTTTATTTGGACTTTTCTCCTGCTATTTTTTTTTTTTTTTCCCTTTCCTTCCTCCTCGACGATTTTGCTTCCTTGACGAAACGATCTGGCTTCGGAACGATCCAATAAGATGACGATGATGAAACGATTCTTTCTTTTGCTTTGTTCTTTATTTTTTTCTTTTTTTAACGGCTTGACGAGAAAAGAGATAAAGACGATAAAAATATTTTCAATTTGACGATTCGCGCTAATAATCGTTAATGTTCCGTGTCTTTCGTTATCATAAACGTTCGATAAATTAATCTTCGAATTACGGAGATGGGAATGAGAATAACTTTAACTTTAAAGAATCGTGTACAATTTTATCCGAATTAATCGGATAAATTAATACCTTCGACGATTAATTTACGAACAACGATGGTTTCACGCGTTTTATTAGGCATGTAAATTAATTTTCTATTCAAAGAAGTATTACTTTTATTTATAGATCGTGACATTATTGAATTTATTATAAAAAAAAAAGATCAAACGGCATTTTGTTTTTATAATAAAAAATTTACATACCTAATTAATCAAAACGCACGCTGACGTATAACAATATTAAAATATCTGCTTGGTTTGCCATCTAACTTCGTTTAATCGTAACAGTAAACTTTGCATTGCAAATACTTCGAACATTTTAGGCACATTTTTTTTAAGGCACCTCTTTCGACTAAAATCGAAGAACTCGAATACCACGAGATATCGAAATTATTTCATTGGGAATGTGAAACGAATTCGGGGGAAAATTCGAAATTCATTCAATACAGAAAAAAAAAATAAATTCATAAGATTTACGTTTTATCTTTGCGAGGGAAAATTCGATCTATCTCTTCTCACAAAAAAAAAAAAAGAGAAAAAAAAAGAAAAAGAAAAGGAGAAAAAATGGGTCCATAAAAAAAACTTCTCGAAGAAAAAGCGCATCGATCTCTCCACTTAACCGTACCCGACGAAAATCGTTCATCGAATCACGATTCCCTGACTCAAGTGTTGTTTCCAGGTGACAGGGGAGGGGAATTAACTTCCCGTTGCTCCTCTTGGACGCTCTCGGGTCTGCTCGCGGTGCTGCTCGACCTCGAGCTCAGATTATCCCTGTCGCTGAAGTAGGAAGAGTCGCCTCTCTTCTCCTCCAACTGGAGCTGTTGCTTGTCGTTCCTGAACTCGTCCCCACCGTGCCCCAACAATCCAGGGAAATAAGGTATCCCCTGTCTCTGGGAGGTGATCTTCCCCATGAAGCTGCGAATCTCCTCGAAGTAAGATTCGTCCGCTCTCGGCAACTGTCCGTGATACCTCGATCTGACCTCGTCGAGTATCGTTGGCCCGTCGGCGTCGTGCTTTTTCAAGTGTCTGTCCAAATTGGTCTGTTGCCCGAAACACCGTTCGCACAACGGGCACTTGAACGGTTTCTCCTTGTTATGAATGTTCCTCACGTGGCGTTGCAAGTTGCTCGAGATGCTGAAGCTCCTCTCGCAGTACTTGCACTTGTACGGTTGCTCGCCCGTGTGAGTCCTCAGGTGCCGCGTCAGATTGGCCGATCTGGGGAACACTTTACCGCAGAACTTGCACGAGTATCTGTCCTTCGGCTTCAGACCTGCCTGCACGCTGATTGAATACGGCGGAATAGCGCCGGACGCTTGTTGCTGGTGATGCTGGTGCTGGTGCTGGTGCTGCTGTTGCTGACTCGAGTGACTTTGTTGTTGGGGCGGTTGATGCTGCTGCCCGCCCGNCAGAGGATAGATGCTAGCTTGCTTCGGGCTTATGTGGCCCGGCATTTTTCTCGGACTCGAGTCTTTCTCCCGCATGGCTGGAGGATACTTCGGGTCGTGCAACAATGTTGGGGGCAGGGGGATGTTACCGAGATATCCGCTCATCACACCCGCTTCTATCACCCTCGGCTTTGCTCCTGCTCGTCGCTCCGGATGATCTGAAAAATTCCATCGACAAGTTTTTTTTTTTTTTTTTTTTTTAACGTTCATCGAACAGTTTGATCGTTCGTCAATTATAGTTTCGAATGTGTATTATTATTATTATTATTATTATTATTATTATTAGATCGTAATTATCGTAATATATTATTAATTGTTGAGAGAAAGGTCGGAAGGAAGAATTTAACGAAACGTTGTCAACATCGCGCCGGATTGGAGACTCAAACGCTCGCACGAGCGATGATACACGAGCGGTGATTTCAATGCCAGATAGAAGATTTGTTCGAACGTAGATACGTTATATTAAAAATTTTGATGTTTTCAATGATGATGACGATGATAATAATAATAGTAACGATCAAAGTCGAACGCGATGAAGGATTTCTCAATAGGATTAAGCGATTTATATAATATTAACGGGAAATCGAGTTTCCCTATGGAGGAACGTCTCGCTAATTCAAGAACTCCTTTCACAGCCGGTGTCGTTTCCCGCAAGTCGATCCAGTTACCGAAGAACCTAATCCTCAGCTGGTCGGTCGTACAGTTCCAACGAAAGAGAAATCAACTCGTGACAGGGTTGGAGGGACGGAGGAACGTGATTGGTGGGGAGGAGTTGCCATTCCTCGGTGCAAGAACCCGTAATGCTCTAAGCGTAAAAGCGGCAGGAGCAAAAAGCTCGCGACCGACAATAGTGAAAAGCGTTAATTACGAGTGGATGTATGTGTGTATGTGCGTGCGTGTGTGCGTGTGTACGTGGAACGTGACGAGGGACCGGAGGAGCGTCCGGTTGGAATCGAAAGTGCGTAGAAACACTGGAAGGAACACCGTTGCGACCGATGATCCAGAACGGCCGAACGGTTTTCGTCCGTTAAGACCTATCGTCGCGTGCAAAAAACGAGATAAATTCCTCGCCGGGAAAACGGTTCTCCTCTCCTCGAGCTTCTTTAATAACACTCCTAGCCTTTATTACCGGAATTACAGCGAGAAAGCCGCCAATTCTGAATTCCAACAATAAAAGGTGGCCGCTGGCCGTTCTCTCCTCTCCTTCTCGCATCGAACACGGAATCGATATATATATATATATA